TGGTTTTTTTTTTTTTGTTCAACTGCATTTGATTAATAAAGGGCTAGCCCATTACAATGTTGAGGCCCATTTTAGCCAATATGTCGGCCTCATGATTCTCATCTCGAGAGATATGTCTAAAAATTACAGAGGAAAAGCGTTCAGCCATTAGCCGAATGTCCGATATGATTCCATGAACTTCCGATATTGGGAGCTCCAAATTGATCGCTCGTATCATTATTTGTGAGTCTGTGTTGAAGATTACTTGCATCTGTTGCATCTCCAGAGCCTGTATCATAGCCGATCGAAGTGCCAACGCTTCAGCCACGAGAGGCGATGCAACNTTGTGTTCTGAGGAGTAATGTTTCAATTTAGGGGTTCCGGCGATTTTGAGAGTCCAGCCGAAANCTGCCACTTCCGATTCAGCCCTCCAGGCCGCATCAGTGAAACAAAAGGTGAATCCATCTTTATAGGACCTAGGATTCTTAATGTTCGACGTTTGTGTCAATTTGGTTGAGTTGGGATTCGGTTGAGCCATACTCCATTCTCTAGCATCCATGAATGCTTTCTGAACCGTTTCCGTAACTGTGAAGTCTCTATTGCTAAATACTTTCTGGTTACGGGAGATCCATAGCATCCAACATATCCATGGGGAGAGTGCGCCTTTCACAATTCCTACTGGTGGTAGGGAGAATAAGTTACTTACTTGGGCAAGTNCAGATTCGATTGATGTGATTTGGGAAGAGTCAAATCCCTCTGCGCTTGCCTGCATCCAGACATCCTTGGCGAAAGGGCATAGGAACAATAGATGAAGAACTATAGATCAAAACAAATGGTTTTTTACTTTTTTTATAAATTACTAGATGAAGGATCCGCATATATGCGGGTTTTGTAATTTGATATCTTATAAAATTGTAAAAAAATAAAATATTTAATTGTACAAAACAAAATTAAATTACCTGTTAAAGTAAATAAATTAAAAGTAAAAACGTTATTGTAAACCTTTTAATTGAGAAACATAACATTTATTTATTAATTTTGATGCTTTTATTATTTGTTTTAAAATTAAAATTTATCACATATTTTCAAATCATTATTTTTTCTTATTCATATTAAAATTAAATTAGGTGTAAAATGTTTTCTCTATTTTACTACTCAAATTTCTATTTCTCAAAATGTTTATAAATTTATTTCCATATTTGTATTTGAACAATTTTTATTCCCTAAATATTCTTATACTCTCGTAAAACAAATCAAACACAAAAAACGAAAGATAAAATTAGGCCACCCCCACGAAGAGATAAAATAAAATTGAGAATATTTATACAAAATTATTTTTAGAGAAGTTTGTCAAATATTTATGGGAAAATTGCAAAAATACCATTTTTGGCTTGTCCATTTGCAAAAATACCACTAATTATGGATTTTTAAAAGCTAAATCTTAAAATTCCAAAGCTTAAAAAATATTTTGACCCCTAAAAACCTCTAAACCCTCCAAACTAAATCGTAATACAATAGTTAATCCAAACATAAAATATATAACAAAAAAATAATTTTGAAAAAGTGAATTTTTGCAAAGATTTTGAAAATATGATATTTTTAAAAAGTGCCACTTCAAAAGTGGCATTTCTTAAAATTTCTCATTATTTATATATTTTAATTCTCATACTTATTTCTTATATTATTTGATATTCAATTAAATTATTTAATATATTTCTAAATAATTTAATTTTTGCTAATTCTATTTAAATTATGTTTAGATTTTCTAATCCTACTTATATTAGATTTACTTTTCACTATATTATAAATAAAGATAAACAGATAAATATTTTGACATGTAGCTAAATTTAATTGAAAAAAAGTATTTTATATTTGTATACACGCGTCAAAATTTGGCCATCCGACTTGACACGTGTCACGATCATGATAAATTTATTCCTATTTAATTTCCAAATAGTCAAAAAATTTCTAACCCTAATTAAATTAGGTTAAGATTTTCCTAATCTTATTTAATTAGGTTTAATTTTCACTATATTACAAATAAAGATAAATAGATAATTTTTTTTGATATATGATTAAATCTAATTAAAACAAATCTCTTACACTTGTAT